AAAGGTTTAATAATTTATAAACAATTTATTATCTATGAATATTTTCGCCTTTGTACAAATGAAGTCCTCCAGTCGCGAGGAGACAAAAACAAAGAAAATGCTAACCTTCAGCAGCAGCAGCAGCAGCAGCTGCTCATAGCCAACCCGCACACGCGCACCTCCCTTAAAGCTGCAGAATATGCGGTTCAGCTAGCCAGCTAGCCAGCTAGCTAGCTAGCTAGCTAGCTCGCTAGGTCAATGCGCAGCAAGCTGCGTAGCTAGCTGTACATTTAGGGGTATAGCTAGCCGGTCGAGCTTCTTAGCTTCACGGATAGCTAGATATAGGCCCCTAGCTAGCCAACAATACAACAGCTAGCTAGCTATACAACGGCTAGCTAGCTATATACAGCTAGCTAGTTCTAGAACGGCTAGCTAGCTAGCTGTACAGCTAGCTAGCTAGCGCGATTCACAGCTAGCTATCCAACTATACGACAGCTAGCTAGATATACAGCTAGCTACCTAGCCATACAACAGCAAGCTAGCTATGCAACAGCTAGCTAGCTAGCTAGCTAGCTAGCTAGCTAGCTAGCTGGGGTTGCCTGGGGGTCTGCGTTAGGGTCTTGAATGACGAGCAGCAAATACTCTCCGTCGGGGGCGACTAAGAATTCGTGTTTCTTTGAACGCACTCGAAGAAATGTTACGTCGTTCTGCAGACACCCCAAACCCTAAACCCTAAACCCTAAACCCTAACCCTAGACTTCTATATGACCTCTGGGCTGCACAGGGACGACAGACAGGGGGCGTGCAGCATAGGACTTGATTAGGCGCTTTGTGCAACCCCCTTAAACCCTAAACCCTAAACCCTAAACCCTAAACCCTGCTAACCTGAGGGTCTAGGTCTCTTACAAGAGAGCGGGCTCTCTCAGCAAGTTGTGCTGCTGCTGCTGCATATGCTGCAGTTTGCTGCTGATCAAACGTAGAGCGAAGCACAGAGCCTTCAGGCCCTAACACCACAACCCCTTTAACCCCTTTTCTTGTTTTTATTCTATTTAAAGTCTCCTCAACTTCCGCCTACACGCAAACCCTAAACCCTAAACCCTAAACCCTAAACCCTAAACCCTAAACCCTAAAGAAAGAAGAAAAAAGGAAGTCAGCAGCAATACCCGCAAAGAAAACCCTCACAAAAAAGGATAAATAAACACTGCAAGCGGCTGCAGATACTCTAGTAAAGTTTGTTTAACTAGTTAGGGTTTAGGGTTTACGCAATTAGGGTTTAGGGTTTATAGAAGCTACTCCTCTATAGTTTAGGGGTTCGGGATTAGGGTTTACTCTTTATTAGGGTTTAGGGTTTCCCCACCATCGTGTTCGGCAGAGATTCAATCAAAGCAAGAGGGAAGTGCTTCACTGCCGGGCCGAGGGTTTAGGGTTTAGGGTTTAGGGTTTAGGAGGGTTGGCTGGAGCTCTTGCCTCCTGCTGTTGAGCTTTAAATGACTCATGCGTCTCAATGAAGAAGAAAGAAAGAAATGAGTTATTATTTGTTGCTTTAGGGTAAAAGTGAAGAAATATAAGCTGCGTATACACCTGAGATTGAATCTGCTGCGTTTGCTGCTGCTGCTGTCTCTCTTTTTCTTTAAAAAGAAAAACATTGAAGTATATTTGACTTTCTTTTCTCTTTTATCTTCATAAACTGAAGCAGCACCTAAAGAAGCCCCTGCTGCAGCAGCAGCAGCAGCAATTAGGGGCCCCGGCTACCGACGCTGCAGCAGCAACAGCAGCAGCAGCAGCAGCAGCAGGAGGCTGCTGCTGCTTGGCTGTACATACACCTGAATTATCTTCGGCTCTTTTGAGTTGTTTTTAACCCCTTATTTTCAATTTTATTCACAGTAAGCTGCTGTATGTCTTTAGAGCCGCAGCAACCCTCGCAAACCCTAATCGCTTGGCCTCATTCAAACCCTAAACCCTAAACCCTAAACCCTAAACCCTAAACCCTAAACCCTCAACCTAAACCCTTTCAATGTTTGTCATCTTCTTCTCTTCTTCCTGACTTATAGAATAACATCTTAACGATCTTCTTTCACCTCTGGGGGCCCCCCGGGGCCCCCAAAGCATCTGTTGGAGGCCCTAGTCTTGACGTTTTAGGGTTTAGGGTTTAGGGTTTAGGGTTTAGGGTTTGTATGTCTAAGAGGCGTTTCCTTGAGCCATCTGTATTTTGTGTGTGTCTATCGCAAGCTTTACACATATCTGGTGTATATACAGCGTTTCTCCTCCTCTTGACTTAGAACCCTAAACCCTAAACCCTAAACCCTAAACCCTAAACCCTAATTCTGCGAGGTTTTCGAGCCTTAAACCTCTATCACAGCCATGGGGTCTGCTCTCTCCCGGGTTGTCTTTCAGCCCCCTTCATATCCAGGGGGCCCTCCTGTTCGAGAAGATTTAATTAGCTTAACAACTAAATCAGGCGAGACCATTCATGCTATTCACATCAAAGGGTAAGCCTAGGGTTTAGGGTTTAGGGTTTAGGGTTTAGGGTTGTAGGGTTTAGGGTTTGTTTGAACGAGTTTAGGGTGGAAGTTGAAGATGAGTTTAAAGACGATTTCATGCTTATTGCAGCAGTTGCTGCTGCTGCTGTTGCTGCTGCTGCTGTTGCTGCTGCTGCTGTTGCTGCTGGGCCTTTGAATAGGGGTCTCCATTGACTTGAGAATAGGAGACAACTTCATTTGCTGCGTCTGCTGCTGCTCTTGCTGCTATTGCTGCTGCTCTTGTTCCTCCTGCTGCTGGTCGCCCTGCTCTTCCTGCTGCTGCTGCTGCTACCCTTCTGCTGCTGCTGCTACCCTTCTGCTGCTGCTGCTGCTGCTTCTGTTTGTGGGTAGGTCGGGTGAATGCACTCTGCTGTATTCGCACGGCAACGCTGAAGACATTTTTTTATCGTTTAGTTTTTTTCTGCATTTGTCTAGAGTCTGTAGGGCGGATGTGCTTCTTTATGAATATGTTGGTGAGGCTTATAAAGACATACACCCTATTAGTCAGCTGTATAGACGCAATATTATTATTATTATTATTATTAATTATTATTATTATTATTATTATTAATATTATTATTATTATTACTGTTCAGCTGTATATACACATTATTTTTATTATTATACAGCTGTATATACACATTATTATTATTATTATTCAGCTGTATATACACCTTATATAGTGTATATATATGTATTATTATAGAAGCATAGATGTAAATGTATATTGCTGCTGCTGCTGTTGTTGCTGCTGCTGCTGCTGCTGCTGCTGCTGCTGCTGCAGGCTACGGGTGCAGCAGCGGGAAGCCCTCGGAGCGTGGGGTGTACGAGTCGGTGGAGGCTGCATATAAATATTTGACTGAGGAGCTGCATATACACCCCAGCAAAATTGTAGCATACGGGAGATCCCTAGGTTTGCTGCTGCTCTTGCTGCTGCTGCTGCTGCTGCTCTTGCTGCTGCTGCTGCTGCTGCTTGTAGATCTGTTCGTGCTGCTGCTGTTGCTGCAGAGATTCCGCTCGTCCCCCCTTTGGTTCTGCTTCTCTTGCTGCTTCAGCTGCTGTTGCTGCTGTTGCTGCTGCTCTGTTGTCTACTACTGCGAATTTGCTGCTTACGTTGCTGCTGCTTCTGCTGCTGCTGCTGCTGTTGCTGCTGCTGCTGCTCTGTTGTTTACTACTGCGAATTCGTTGCTTACGTTTCTGCTGCTTCTGCTGCTGCTGCTGCTGCTGCTGTTGCTGCTGCTGCAGGTTCAGGGCCTAGCGTGCATCTGTGTGCTTCTGAAGAGGTAGGGGGTTTAATATTGCAGTCAGCTCTGCTGTCTGTACACCGCGTAGCTCTACGTCTTCGCCTGACTTTTCCTGGGGATTTGTTTGTAAATATTAAAAAAATTAAAAAAGTCAAATGTCCTGTCTTCTGCATCCACGGGGCAAATGATGAAGTCGTCCCCATACACCACGGCATTGTAAGAAACCCTAAACCCTAAACCCTAAACCCTAGGTGAAACTCAGAAACAAACCCTAAGCTCTGGTGGGGGGAAGGGTGTTGCAGTGGTTTTGTTGTTTTGTAGAGGTTTTACTGAAGAGTATTTCAGCTGCTTCCTTTACGTTGAGGCATACTGACGATTAGGGTTTAGGGTTTAGGGTTTAGGGTTTAGGGTTTGTGTTGCAGGAGCTGTACAAGAGAGCTCGTGTACGAGTCAGCCCCCTTTGGGTTGGAGGCGCTGGACATAATAACGTAGAGATAGTAGCAGGAAGAGAATTTCTTCTTGCTATTTCACGCTTCCTCAGGCTGCTGCAGCAGCAGCAGCAGCAACAGCAGCAGCAGCAGCAGCAGCAGGAGCAGCAACAGAAACAGCAGCAGGAACAGCAACAGCAACAGCAACAGGAGCAGCAGGAGCAGCAACAACAGGAAGAAACAGGGCCGCCAGCTGCTGCGGTTGTTGCAGCAGCAGAGGGAGCATGAGGGTAGAGTTTGAGGTGTATGTACAGCTGAACGACGAACTTGTCCTTTAAAAAATAAAAAACAAAAAAAATAAATATCAATTTGGCGTCTACGTACAGACACTGCTGTGCAGAAACTAACAAGTATTTAAAAAGGAGACAGCTATACACAAGCAGCAGCAATAGCAGCAGCAGCAGCAGCAGCAGCCACAGAAGCAGGAGCAGCACAAGCAGCAGCAGCAGCAGCAGCACAAGCAGCAGCAACCCTAGCAGCAGCAGTACAAAATAAAGATAAAGAAGGTTTAAAGACAACAGTAGCAGAAAGAAACAACAGAGACAATAAGAACAGCAACGATAAAAATAAAAAGTTAAGAATAATAGGCTGCATGCAACAACTTTATTTATGATATTAATATTATATTAATAATATATTAAATTGTATATTTAAAATATTTATATTATATTTATACTAAATATTATATTTATATTATATGTGCGTCGGTGTATTAACAAAAACAAACATCAAAAAAATAAAGAGCAGACGCGGTAAACAAACAAAGACAAATAAATTTGTTAATAGATAGATAAATAGATAAATAAATATATAAATAATATATATACATACATATATATTTATATATATATTTATATATATATATGTATACACCAAATGAAGAAGCAAACAAAGAAATAAACAAACGAGCGAAGAAAACATCAAAGAAACAGCGACAGAAAAAGTTAAACAAATTAATAAACAAATAAATACACAGAAAAACAAACAAACAAATTAACAAACAAACGTATAAATAAATAAAGTAAATAAATAAATAACTAAAATAAATAAATAGACAAACGCAGAGGCAAGCAAACAACTGCAGTAAAACAAATAAAGAGTTGAGAGCAACAAAAACAAAATATATAAACATCAAATGCATGCACAGGTATAAAATTTCTTCGCTATGCAACGCCTAACTATCTTATTTGCTCATCATCTTATACAGACTAATATATATATATATATATATATATTATGTATAGATATGTATATATATGTATGTATATATACATATATATATATTTATTTATTTATTTATTTATATTTATATATATTCGCACGTTCAGGCAAGTGTAATATAGTAAGTATAATCATATACATCTCTAAATGTATGTTTCTACATTTACATATATATATATTTATATACACCCTGTATATATATATATAAATATATATATATATATATATACATATATATATCTATATATATACACCCTGTATATTTATATATAAATATATACACCCTGTATATTTATATATCTATATTTATATAAATATATGTATATATCTAAGTCTATATATCTACTTCTACACCTATATATATATATATATCTGCTTCTACGTATATATATATATATATGCGACAGACAAAACAAACAATAAAAATATATCTCTTTAAAAAGTTTTTTAGTTGGTGAGGAGACAAAACTCAAAAAGAAAATAAACACAAAATAAACGCAAGTGCGTCTTCGCCTCCATGAAGAGACAGACACACAAAACTAATAAATAAATAAATAAATATATATATATATATAGATGTAGATAAGTATATACATTTATATATATATGTATATATATATATATATATATAGTTTACTGTGCAAGTACATACAAGCATATAAATATACACCCG